AAAAAAAAAAAATTCAAAATAATCTAAATGTTTGACATGAGAAAGCAGCTTAGTATAAGTCACTTTTACTTTGAACATTTATTCACATACTATGGAGCTTATGTTTTTCCAAAGTGAAGGGATTTAACTCATGACAATTGATTTTCTGCTGCATCATATAGGAATAGTTTTTTCTTCAGTCAGCAGGAATTTTCATATGGAGTGCCTTTCTTACCTTCCTTAAATTCATCTGTAAGTTTTATGTCGACACTTCAGAAGGCTAGTCCTGCAGTCCTGTCCTGTTTCCTTATCATGGTTGACTTCTGGGTACATGGCAGTCCCCGAAAATTACCAGCTCTATCTAAGCAACATTATAATTCACATCCCTAAAAGACCTACTAATAATGCCTTTTTTTTTTTAACTAGTTCACACTTCAGTTTCTCAATTCTTCCCCTTCTTTTGTTACCACATGAAGCCTATCAGCACATTTGAAGGATTCTTCATAAATTCATCTTTTATCTTCCTCGTCATGGTTGTGGTTCCAGCTCTCTTATTTTGCAGCTGCATTGGCTATTTTCAAAGTATCTTTGTTGGTTATGAACTGCCATCTTTATGGACTTTAATTCATTTTGTTCATTGCAATGAAAACAAAACACTTCAAATTTTTATGCCCCATATTCCTGTAGTTTTAGGATTTAAGAATTTCTCTTTTGTGAGGCATTCAAAGTCTTTTATCGTCATTGAATCACCATTCTGCACTGTAATTTAGAACTGTCATGGAATGTATAAAAACACTGATGTGTATTTGAGAGTCGATTTTACATGAGTTACATGATATTGGTCATAACCACTAATGTTTCACTGTATCTTTTTTTTTTTCTTTTCAGTTTTTTCCCCTTTTTCTCTCCCCAGCTTAAATTGTATTTTAAACTAATCTAAGAATGTACTTTGACATCTTTATATATGTCATTTCCCATCCCTTGGGATTTAATCTTTCCAGTTTAAATTCCTGTACTGGTCATTTAAATGGCCATTATAATCTATTTCATTATGTGTGTATACTTGTTCATTTTAATTTCCTCCTAGGAGATTGTAAACATCCAAAGTATGGATTTGGTTTTATCCATCTGTCATACAATTATTGATATGAAAGGGTTTTCCATATACAGAGTCTGGAGCCACGAGTGTCGTGAACCTCCTTCTGTTGCTTCTTCTGCCATTATGATTATTTCCCAAATGCTTGTTCCTGCACCAGTAAGTCTGGGCAGTACTGCTAACATAGGAAAACTTGATTCTTGTTATTCCTTTTGCATTGAATGAAAGCCTCACCCGTTGGGGCCTTAAACATCATTGAAGATAAATTGCAATTATGAAAGAAGTAGTTATGCCAGTTTCCATCTAACATTAAACTCTGAAATAGCCCATACTGTCTGTTTTCCTAAGGGTTTTAATCCAATATTAATCCAGATATATAATTCATGTTCAATAACCATATAACTATTTAACATAAAATAAAGAAATGTGACCCTATGAGGCTCTTTATTCCCTTCACATTTTGAAGAAATAAAATAATTCTGGTAATGAATGGATACCTCTGTACCAAATAGAAGAGAGAAAACACACCATTTATTATTGAGTAAACATTAACAGATTTACATAGATGTAAGGAAGGACAAAAGAACTATACACTTGGGACAAAATCACACATACCTTGTATATCACAGTAGAATAACAACTTCTCATATCCTCAATAGTTGAGGGTGCAGCTTTAGATAATCTCCTGTAGATGTTGAGAAAATTCTGAACAAGTGTTAGAGGTGCATGTAATCACATCCAGAGGTTATTTGGCCTATGACTTGGGAGATATGTCTGTATTGTAAATTGCAAACTGTCAGGGTCTCTGGCTCAGTAATCCCTTTAGGTCATGCAGAACATAGATTGAACATGGCGAATAAAAAGAAAGTTAGCAAGAATTATTTATTGCCTGGATTTACATAGCAAGGTGGCTATCCCATATTTAGAGTAACAAGGAATTCAAAGGCTGAAAACTTATACATTTTGAGTAAGAGATTGATTAACTATTCTTAAGCTATATCGAAATCTCTCATGGAGTTTATGCCAATTTCCACAAGATCAAAAATGTGCCTAGTGTAGGTT